GGATGAAATGGAGCAGAGGGCAAGAAAAGCAAAGGGAGATCCATAATGAGAGAGGGTGGAGAAGAATTCAGGAAACCTAAGGTAAGAGGACTGAGAAAGGGAAGGGCCACATTGGCCCAGATGTGTTTCTGCATCAATGGATTTCTCTCATTCAGGGGCTAATGCAGCTCTGTAGAACCATCATAACCCTCGTCCCTGGTGAAATGGTCACTCCAGGACACAGAATTGCCAGCATAAAGTTTCACCCTCTCACTTGCTCTGATGTCTCCTGAATAGAGCTAATTGGACTACTGGTAGAGATGTAGAAATTTCACAAAAAACAGCATCTGATGATGGGAGCTTGGGCTTACAAAAACTCCTACTACAGATCCCTGAGTGAGTTAGTCTATAAGGTACAAATCCACCCTATTGTCTACCAAAGCTTTTGTCAGAGAGATTCTACTCCTTGTTTATCACAATCTTGACTGGAAAACTTTGCTCTGAATCAAGTGGAGCAGGATCTTGAAACGGAGTCTCCACCACCTTCCCAGGCCACATGGAGCCAAAATAAATTTCAAAACCTCAGAAGCTGCTGCAAAATTGAATTGTCATTGTCCAGACAGCTCTGCCCCTTGCATGCCCCGCCAGGTGTACAGTGATGTTAAATACAGCCCTCCATACAGAGCCTTGTAGGGGAGGGAGGAGCTTGAACTGACTCTAAAAGATGAAAAGCCCGTGTTGGGTTCAGGGAGAGGGGAACAATGAATGCAAGTGGAGGACAGGAAAATGAGTTGCGTGGCAGCAATTTGGACAAACTGGAGACAGAGAGAGGCAGGACATGTGCAGTGGTTTAAGGGGATAACAGAAAGGCTCATCTGCTACTCACATGCCAGTCTTGTGTTTTGTACCCAGGCCACATCAGTAACGTCTTGCAGAAGGTAGATGTGCAGCTGATCCAGCAGGACATCTGCAGCGAGACCTATCACTACAAGATCTCTCCCAGAATGCTCTGTGCTGGCTACCACAAGGGCGAGAAGGATGCCTGCCAGGTGACTGAGGAGACATAGGGTACTCCCACCATATGACAGGATTGGCTAGCATCCTGCGGGTGAGGGATGGGAGGAGGTTCCTTCTGGCAGAACATGCTCTATAGACTTAAATAAGGGACATGACAATGGCAAGAGCTGATGAGTAGAATAACCCCTCCACCCCAACTGTCAGCCACCCAACTGTACCCATTCTCACCCTCCAGTTACAAGAGCAGAAATTTGTCTTCTCAGTTCCTTAGGGTGATGTCCAGGCTCCCAGGAGACTCTTGGTGATGTAACCTTACGAGAGCTACACCAACCCCTTCGGGAAGTTTATTCCTCAGTGTCTGTACTGTATTTAGGATTGCTGGTGACAGAAATACAGCTTCAATGTTCCCTCTTTCATTCCAGCCCATTATATCCTCGCTCTTAGCTCCTCCTTTACATTCCTTCTGAGCAACAATCCCCATCTCATTCTTTTGGAGGAGGTTCCCATCATTCCTCCTAATCCCAGACCCTACCTTACATCAAATGCAACTGCCTTTTCCTTCATTATTCTACATTCCCCAATCACTGCGACTGGTCCCAATCATTGTAGGATCCAGTTCAAATTTGTCAGCTTCGAAGACTCCTGTGGACTTGCTCCAGCCTTTTTCCTCCTGGGGACTTTGCATTGACTGGAAGAATAGATGGAAGATAGAAAGCATCTAATAGCTGGTTGGAGGAGTGGGACCCACACTCTCAAGGATGTGCTAGCAGCTAACATCAGTTCTCATAAGCCTTTGGTTTCTGGTTCTCTCGTGCACCTCTCTGCCTGAGGTACAAATCTCTGTGGTAGATGCTGCAGACACCTCAGGTACTGGGATGGAGCAGCGGAGTGTAGCTACTCAATGGGGCCTGACCAGGAAAGGAAGAAAGGGTTATGCATTGTCAAAAAGGTTGTAAGGTCATTGTTCTCCAGCATCATCAGTGTAGGAACCTGATTGGCCTTTCTTTCTTTTTCCCTCTCCAGGGTGATTCTGGAGGTCCCCTTGTCTGCAAGGAGCCCAGTGAGAGGTGGTTCCTAGCTGGCCTGGTGAGCTGGGGGCTAGGATGTGCCCGTCCAAATTATTACGGGGTCTACACCAGGATGACGCAGGTGCTGGGCTGGATGAAGCAGACGATGAGCTGAGGAGTGTCTGTGCCTTCCCCATTCATTATCTCCTCCTGACACTGGTCATTTTGTCTCCAGTGATGGGAAAGAGAGACTTTGTTTCAAAGTGTTGTCAGGGTTGGGAGGCCTGCAGCCTTCAGTATGAACTCAAAGATAATACGTAGCAGAGGAAAACTAAGGAGAAGTACCAGAAGAAGTGTCCCCCACCCCCCACTCGTCTCAAGAAATGTCCAATTTTTTATTAAGGTCAAGCACACGAAGGGCCAGGGCTATGGTGCATTCTGCAGGGGGGCAAGGGAGCATAAGTTCCCAGGGTTCCTGGACAGATGTTTTCTGGTTAAGTTACTGGGGGGGGGGGAAGGCATGGGCGAACTCCATGATTCATTCCCTATCCCAAAGCTGGCACACTTGCCGAAAGAAAATCATACTGATGTAGCTAGAGCTGAGCTCCCCGTGACTGTGAAAACAATTTGCTTCTCTCTGTCCCTGCCTGTCATTCATCCTTCTCTTTCCCCTTCCTCCTTGCCTTACACCTCCTCCCCCTGCTAATTGCTGCTTTTCTTAGCTAGAGCATGTGGTTAGGGTTCAGCTGTGCAACTGTTATGTATCAGTGCCTCAGGTCAGAAGACCATCGCTATGCCGTTGTGTGTTGCTGCATCTCTCCTGTAATAGCGCCACCCTCTTTTGCTGTAGTTGGACTCCTTCAGGCGGAGTTCCTGGCCATCTGAGAAGCCTCCTTCCCAGTTCTGTGAATTA